GCGCCGGCGGCTGCCCCGCGGGGGGACCCGGCGCTCCGCCGCCCGCAGCCGCCCGGCCGGGGAAGGGAAGGGACGGGAAGCGCTGCCGGGCTGCGCCGCGGAGCCGCTCCGAGTTCGGGGTCTCTCCGCGCAACTTGGGTTACGCGGCCGGACCTCTGCGGGGTTTCCATCCTCTGCCTTTCCATCTTATCGCAGCTGCTGCGAGATAATTGACTAAACCCAACAGAAATAAAACAAACTCAGGTCGCCTAAAAGTTAGGATACCTTTTTTTTCTTTATTTCTCCCCCCCTCCCTTTCTTTTACAATTTTATTCCCTATGTGGAAGTCGTGTGTGATTCGTGCTCGGCACACTGCATGGGAAGAAGCGGCTTGTGCTTTGGATCGAGGATTTGCTGTTGCAAAGCGGTCTAACTTCCATGCAGTGGGGCAGCCTTCACTACTATAAACGCCTTGATGATGTGCTGAGGAGCCCATGTAGATTCACATCTTGTGCAGAGAAGGCGCTGAAGGTAAGAAGGGTCTTGGGGAAACGAGGGATTTTTTGTAGCCTTTTATATGATATCTTTTGTCCAGCATCCCCCTTTGAAGCAGAGCATCAGCGGTTCATCCAGAACAGTATGGATAAAGTCTGCTCCTGTGCAAAGTACAGGGAGCTCACAAGTGAATGCAAAAGCTGTATTTATTTTTAGTCTGATAACACAGCACGGCGAGGATCTGTGCTCGCGGCGCGGACACTGAGCAACTCGCATAGCTCAGGAATGAGGAGATCCACGGTCTCAGTCTCTGATGGGCAGTTTGCATTGGCTGCTGCATTTTGTTGAATGTGTACCCCCGCTACCTCCCTAGAGCATCCCATCAGCCCGTGTGATTTGTTGTTTTTTGCAGATATAGTGCCTACTATTAATGAGAGAGGGAGAGGGATGGGGAAAAAAAAAAAAACATATGGAACATTTTATTGATGTGATCATAATCCTGTAATGGAGATTGCATTAAATGAGGATTGCATCAAAATGCCAGGCTGCTGTGGAGAGCCGAGAAAGCAAAAACTGTGCTGGATTGTAAATGAAGTTCTTTGATTGAAGGATTTTCTTGAACCATGAAGGGATGTCTGTAAGCTTAAAGTTGCTGTGTATGTGGAGTACTGGAATGGGATAAAACCCAGATCAAGCTGAAATGTATTTTAATTGACTCAAGCTCCGGATACAGTTAGAATTGGGTAGAGGCATTGCAGTGATGCCCAATGAATTCTTGGTTTCAGCTATGGAGACCACAGAAAGGCAAGGGGAGAGGAGAACCCAGACAGAGAAGGAGAGAATGTGATCTTTTGGGGAAGAGAAGGATGGCTCGTCTGTGACTTTTGCCATCATGGCACAGAGCTTACAGCCTGCTGGCTACAAGCAGAAACCTTGCAGGCGATGTGGAAAGCAGAGGATTTATCTCACTTTCCTTTTGCAACCCGGGTGTAGTTGCCTGTAAGAAGTAGCTCTGAGGTGCATGTCAAGGGGCAAACAGGGACCTATTTGCCCCTCTCGGACACTGAAGGAAACTGTGAGACTGGGAGAGATGGAGTCGGCTCAGCTGATCCTGCCTTTTTGAGCTTGAGTTGATAATACATGTTGAGTAATTGTTGCTGCTTATCTCAATTGGCAAAGGAGGGGAGAAGATGTTCAAGTTTATTGAACCGAAGCAGAGCTGAGGACAGTAGATACTATCAGCTCACCCTTGCATTCGTTTTGTTTGCATTCTGGCATAGAGAACAGAGCCACAAAGAGCACCTTCTTCAAGCCTTACTGAAAGGAAGCCTAAAGAGAACAAAAAGATTAAGTGAAAGATAAATTTTAACTTTTTGCTTGTCTGCAGTGGAAGTAGCATTGGTCTGCCAGGCAAGACAGGTCAAAAGAGGTAAGATAAGGAACAAAGTTACTTATTTATTTATTTATTTACTAACATTCCCACACGCACAAAGTTGGCATACAAAGAAACATGACGGAGTGGGGAAGCACCACGTCTGAGAAGCACCTAAGTTACAACTGATGTAAACACAGGAGAAATTCCTGTAAGAATCCTCAACAGTACCTATGTGTAACTGCAAAAGAGCTGGTTAAATTCAAAATTATATAGAATAAACCGAAGCCAAATATCTGATGTTCTCAGAAGTAGTCCGTTTTCCCATTTGTGTATAAAATCTGAGGTAATATTTCCACAACTCAATCTCCCTCTTCCTTTATATTTGGCATAAAGTTGAGACAGAAACGCTGATTTTAAATAAAGTGACGAAAAGCAGTGTAAGCACATCGAATTCCTCTTAAGCATTTTATTTTGGCAAAAGATAACTTTTCATGAATTGTAAGAGATGGGTTTAGAATATTCATGGCTAAACTCCAGGGAGCTTAGTGTTAGCTCAGTAGGCAGAAGGTTCTTCCTCTAAAGAGATATCTGGAAAAGATGTGTTTAAATTTCAAGCCATATTCCATTGAGACTGTTGGTTTCCACATTTTAAAATAATTTTTTTATGCCTCTTAGGGGAATGATGGTTAATCTGGGCAATAAAGCAAGTATTCCTAGCTCACTTTTTCAACAGAAAAAGCAAGCAGTGTGATTTAACTGTACTTCTGTATATCCAGTACTCCAGATTTTACTCTATTTTTTATCAAATAACAGCTGTGGAAAAATCTTGTCTTTTGAAAGCATGGTTATCCATGCAGATCTTGGTCTGTATTTTTGCTACAGAAGAACTCTGCTTCATGGCTGCATTGTTCATCCTTGCAGCATTTCTTTAAATGTGAGCCTTGCTGTAGTTAAAGGATAATTTATATTCAGTGTAGTACTGTCTGCACAGTGGAATTGGCTTTATACATCACAGCCTCTGTAAAAAAGGAGATCAAAGATCTGAACCTGTGGTCCTGTATTGCATTTGTATTCTAGGTGGACTTGAGTAATCTCATACTGGAGCCATTCACGCTCCCATAGTTAAGAGTATGTCAACCTTTCCATTAAAACATCATTTGCTTAGGAATTTAACTGCTAGTTTTAAGACAGGCTCCAAGCTCAAGTTGGACACATTCATATAGTAAAAAAATAAATATATCCTAAACAATGAAGTCTAATAACATTTGGCACCGTTAAGTTGAATTTATAGAAAGCCTAGTAGAAAATAACACCTGTCTGAAAAATGTAGAGATTAAAAGGGAAAAAAACTCAACCACAAACCTTTCAAATTTGGAAAGCACCTTGTGGATCCAAGTGTTTCTACCTGGATTTTAAAGCAGCCTCTGATGGTTAAGCGGACAGTAGGACTTTTCTTAAAGGAGAACAGCACTGGCTCAAAGCAGGAATTAGTCAGATCTCAATTTAATGGTTCAGCGTCACATTGCATCAGAACTAATGTTCTGGTGACAGTTCTTTTGAGGGTTAAGTTACAAGAACAACAAACCCCAAACCTTGCGTTGTAACCGGTAAAGTTTTCCATTCAATGAGCCAAAGAGAAACATTCACTTTTGAATGGTGTTTATTGTCTGACGCAGGTGTGGAAAGCATTTGGGGGATGTGCCAGGTAGTCCACCGGGGAGCAACCATCCCGGTAATCCTGCTTCCATCAGGGGACAGTCGAGCGGAACAACGGGCTATTTACACTTAAACAGAGCTCTTTCTTCTAAAGCATCGCAGAGTCTTTTCCAATCACCTGCCTCAGAAGTAGTCGCTTCATCTGTGCAAAGTATAATGACTTCGGGCATATTTCAGGTTAGAAGTGAAAAGATTGGAATTACAAGTACACCTGGGTTCAAGGATACAGTTGCTTATGCTATGTAATAGCAATGTTCAAGCAGCAAGTTCTAGACACAGCTTCCTATATTCCAAGTGTTTTGGACTGGATGAAATAAATGAGTATTGTTTGAATGAAAGTGTTGCCATTTACATAAAAATTCATAAGGGAGATTTATATTCTTCTGTCCCAATTACCTCTTTCTGTAATGAGATCACTGAGGAGTTTGTAACAGTTGTCTCTCACCAGTGCAGTGAAGTAGCAGTGACCGTATCTTTCTTGGGTCTTCTCAAAAGTCATGCTTCTTGCACATACACAGGCAAGTAATGGGAAGCCAGGAAAAGTTAATGTAAAAATTAGAATACAGGTGAAAAAAGACTGTGGGATTTATTATGTGGATACAGTCAAATCATGGTAGTTTTGACAGTAAGTAGGAAACTGTGAAGCGTTTTCTGTAACTGTGTCATAATTAAGCATTCTTTTCCTTTGAAGTCTATTGTTATTGCCTTTAAGAAAATCCTGTTGAAAATTAGCTCTGATACTCTTCGAAAATGTATGTTTTCTCGTAGATTATGCAAGATTTAGCCTTGATCAAACATGGCCTGAGTCAAATCTTCCTGCAGCATGTGAAAAAATTCCTGTTGGAACAGGGCCTTCCATAAGTGCTTCTTGCATTACATAATGTACATACTTGAACTTCTGCCACTCCTTTAGGAGTTCTACATGTTCATGTGGTATAGAAGGCATAGGTGTGAAGGGGTTTAGCTTGCAGGAGTGGCAGAACTCAGCCTGTTTAACAGCAAATGCTTTACTAACTTTTCAAAGAAGTTCTTTTTAAATGGCTGTTGTTTTCCTTCATTTAAGTTGTGATAGACTCCGCAACGATTATATAATTTCAAGGGAACTTACATAGCCGGATCATCAGAGAACCTAATGTGTTGTTAGAGAGGCAGATGAATGCTGAAATCATTGGAGACTTCCAAATTCAATAGTGAAATTACAACCAGAGGTGCCCCCTGTCTTTAAAACCCATTGCTCGGGGGTTTAACATGACAGCTCTCCATGCTCACAAACTTCGCCTGCTTCGTTTTCCTGCCAGGGGAACATCTTCAGTTGTGTACTGCTTTGATGTGATATGGTTGTTTTGGGGAAGATTTTCTTCCTCCAAGCTGGTCTAGAAATAAGATGTCACTGGTGATGTAGTCTGTTTGCATATCAGTGTTTATCTGTTGCATCCTTAAGGACATAGTTTTATTATTGTTGTAAGAATTTAATTAGTAATTATATACGCTTGATGCTGTCTACTGAAGTAGCAGGAAATACATGCTAAAGGGAAGAAAATCAAGCAAAAGTTTGGAATGCTTTAGGCACAGCATGTTTCATTTAACCAACTGTGCTATCTTGTTAAATAAATAAATGTATATGTATGGAAATCTATGATCTGCTGGATCTGTGTTCACATACGTGGGCACACTATAACCACACACACTCTTGTTTCCAGCTGTAGTCCCTGGCACAAGGAACATACAGGTCCACCCAAAGAAAAGTAACATATTTAGGAGATGACAGAACTGCAGGTTCCATAAAATGGAGCATAGGAAGCAGTTATAAAGAAGCCAACTGCCTGCCCTTAGCCTGTAACTCAGATGTCATTAGGTGACTTTTTTTATAATTGTCCTAAGAAAGGAAGATCCATGACTTTAGGTAGAAACCAAATTTTATGTCTGTTAATGGAAGTAAAACTCA